GAAAAAGGGGTACCTTTAAAAATTATTTCTGATAATGGGACAAGAGTGGGCAAAAATTTTATTGTTGATTTTGGTAGCACTAGTACCCCTCTACGTAATTACCGTTTACCCATCTTGCCCATACCCGTACCATCGGCTATATTTAATTTCAAAGATAGGGTACTTTCAAGGTGATGGGCGACACCTATCAGTGGTTTCCATACTATGTCTCAGAGACATGGAGCAACATAAATTGGTCATGATGCTTGAATAGTCGAAGACATATACTATCATCACCTACCATCAGTATATCACGCAGTCCCTATTTTGGCCTGGAAAAATGACTCTAAATATGCCTAAATTTTGACTCAAAATCGGTGAAAATAGGCTGAAAATCGTTATAGGGCCATATCTCCCGAATGGTTAATTTTTGAGATCGGCCCTTTTGGTCAACGAGTAGTCTAGTCGGACTGATTCATCCCTGTGAATATGAATCCGATCGGCTGACCCCCACCTTATCACCCCCTGCATGGTTTTCTCGTGGAATGACACTTAATATCATACATTTATGTTCTACTTTTTAATTTATTAATGACCTTTTCAAAAGTCTCACATTTTTAACCATCGTTAATTTTGTATCTATAACTGACAGACAACATAAACTGAAAGTCTCGATGGCGCCACCATGTCATAAAATCAGACTGATCGACAAAGTAAATGCACTTTTTTCCTGGTCAACTCGGATGAGAAATTTTCATCGTTGGATAACATACCTAATGGGTAAAACACGGCAATGGCTTCCAGGAACATGCTACATGCTTATACATAGCAGAATTGGATTCAGAAACCGTTTTAAAATCAGCACATCCCGCCACAAATGGCAGCCATATTAGAAATATGCTAAATATGTGAACATGTTATAAATCATTTCACTAAGTTGTAAACGACAGAAATGGAATCTGCGATGCAAAAACAGATATATTTACATCAATCACGACTAGTTAATCAATATCAGAACACCGTCCCATTTTCCTGCCAATAATGGCCACCATCTTGGAAATATGCAAAATAGATGATCATTTTACATAGTTGTAACTGGGAGAAATGGAATCTGTGCCCCCGACAAGATTTATACTCTTCAAAAAAAGTAGGGGATATTGAAATGCAAATACCTATGCAGGTTGTGATATGATAAATAGTCATAGACACTTGACATACTTTGAGCTGCACTTGTGACACGCAATAGCGCCATACACGTTGGAGGGGTTCATTGTCAAATTTGACACTTCAAGGAAGGATTGATGAAAACTGCCGCGTGCTGGTTTATCCTATCCATGTTTGCTTTCCTATCGGTTCTTGCATAAGATTTACTGTTTAGCGTATCTTTGCTTTAGTGTGTTACGTTTAATTTGCAATGAGACGTCTTCAACATGATGAACGTCTATGTGCTATTGGCATGCTTCAAATGAGTTCTACACAGCGAATAGTAGCTAACATGCTTAATGTGTCACAGTTTGTGATCGGCAGACTGTGGAACCAGTACCAACAAACACACAATGTTGATGATAGACCTCGTTCAGGTCGTCCCAGAGCCAATACATAAAGCCCGGGATCGATACATTCGTACACAGATCCTGCGAAATCGAGGAGTAACGGCTAATCAGCTTTCTGTAAACTTGTACAAAGTTACAGGAATTCGAGTTACACCCCAAACGATTAAAAATCGGCAACATGCAGCCTATTTGCATGTGCGACGACCGCGTGTTGTGCCTCCATTAACTCGCTAGCACATGGCAAACAGGCGTCAATGGTGTAGGCAGCGTAGAAATTGGGGTAATCGTCAATGGGTGCATGTAATGTTCTGAGATCAGGGCTTGCCACGAGCAAATTGGAGGCGAGTAGATGACTACTCATGCAAATATAGACTTGCGCGAGTGAGGCGAGTACATGTATTTACTCACGCAGAATGATGTGCGTGAGTAGCCATTTAAATTTCATGTGCCTTATGGCAATGCTCTTGTCACTTCGGTGGAAGCGGACGTTGAATAAAGCAATTTCACACACAATGACAATGCATACTCTTTTATTTCCTTGGCAAAAAAAAATATCTGTAAATCGTCTTCCCATGACAAGAACGTTGCAAGAGAAACTGGGCTTCCCTTTGCCATCGTTTTTGTGCTGAGGGGATTCGGGTAAAGCTTAGAAAGGTAAAAGAACAGGCAAAACAATTTCAATCCCATCAGTTTGCAGAAAAGATGCGGGATCGAAAGAATTGCTATTAATAGAAACGACAACATACGCTCAATGTTTGATTATCCAGACACGGCAAAGGACATCCGCTTAAAAACCGCCTGGCAGTACGCGTCTCAAAGTATTTTTAGTAACAACAGTTCGCACGGCTTTTTATATTACGATATTCAATTATTTCTGATTAAATTATTTTTTATATTTGCGCGAGTACTTAATCACTCACGTAAATTTGGTTTTACGCGAGCGTAGTGTGCGCGCGAGTAATTACTCGCGTCTCGTGGCAAGCCCTGGAGATGAATCCGGATTTACTCTGGATTTCACCATTAGGTGTGCTCGCGTTTGGATGCGTGTAAATGAGCGTCATGCTAACGTTAACGTCAGACAGCATGACAGATTCGGGCAGGGGTCAAAATAACACTTGTCTACTTGTCAAATCCAAGTAACATTTTCAATGGACAAGTAGAAAAAAAATCTACTTGTCGCCGGCGACAACTAGAATAATATCTATAAAAATTCAGGCTAAAAATGTATGTCCAATAAAATTGGAAGAGGGGAACTTTCCATTTTAAAACAAATTAGAAGTTATTTAACAGCATGCGACAAGCTGTTCATTTGTCTCCATAGTGCTAGTAGTGTGGTGGCGAATTTCTCCCCGATTAACAAGACTGAAACTTATATGGTCCTTTTAAGTTCGTTCTATACGTCTGGGAAAGGTTTCTTTGCAATAAAATAGTAACACTACTGATTCTGTGAAAGCCTTAATGCCATTGGATATTCCTTTTTAATCACCCAATCACAGTCAATATTACATAACTCCATGGCAATCAGGGTTCAGCTGTAGGTCGTCAAATTGGCAATTTACGATATTAAAATGGAAGTTGTGATTAAAATTTAATTTTGGCGATAATGTTTTGGGGTACATGGCGGTAAAAAATCTTAATACCTTATTATTGCAAATTATATTATCACCATGGGTCGGAAACATGCTGACAACGAACGAGTCAGAATAGCGAAGATTCTCGAGTGAGAAAACGGTCGTCATTTGTTTCATTACTTCCGCCAAAATGTGCTAAAGTGAACGTGGAGTCTGATTGTAAGCATCTCTTACAAATGAAATTGAAATACAATCAATTTATTTATTATTATTTTTTTTATTTTTTTTTTTTATTAAAAACGACAATCAATGGTGACAACTTGAAATGACCAAGTGACAAGTAAAAAATATTTCTACTTGTCACCTGAGACAAGTAAAATTTTACAAACATTTCAACCCATGGATATGTTATGGGTATGTTATGGTGTGGGGAGGAATCACCATGACTGGCAGAACGGACTTGTATATTGTTCAAGGAAGGGTCACTGGTGTGTACTACCTGACCTTTACCGTTCCCCTATAGAGCATATTGTCTGGGACATGATCAGCAGACGTGTTCGTCGCCGTCAATGTCAACGGACAACACTGCAAGAATTGGTTGTGGCACTGCAAGAGGAGTGGGTCAGATTGTAATTGTATAATTACCTGGGACGTGATTAACCGATTTTGGATGTATTTGTCAATAGTGGAATACTAATTTTATAGGATAATGGATAATAAATAATACTACAACCACAGTAAGGTGATCACCTATGGGTGTGCATTTTTTTATATTCATCTTTTTTATTCATATTTCATATGTAAATAATCGTAAACAAAATGAACCGATCGGATAAACGGCTCGGGGGAAATTAAAAGGTTTATCTAATAGTTCAAGGCTGTAGATAAATTAACCGTGTGTTGATTTTTCAACGTATTTCGGGAAAGTAAACGGCTCGTCTAATAAGTAAACGCCGTAGATAAATGAACGGGTCTTCCATTTATAAATGCCTCTCGGAAAAATTAAACCCGTTACCATTAAATTAAACTAAGCCATAGTACTAACTAAACCATTTTTGTAATTCTTAAACGATTTTTATCAATTATCGAACGATGTTTTAAACGTAAACTATATGCATACTTTCCAGCGCCAAAACCCCCGTTCTAAACGATACCATATCTTTGAAGACCTACTCAGAAAAAATGTCAACATTGGATTTTTATCATTAAACTAACATCAAAACTATCAAAATAAAGCTTATTCCACGATTTCTACTCGAAAAGCCGATGGATGGGAATTATGTAACAAACCCAATCGGACTATGTAACAAACCCAATCGGACCACAGTAGAGTGTTTGCAATGTTTATTTTCACAAGTCAGAATCGAGCATGATGTGACTTGTAATGGTCACTTTTACAGAACTTGATACCGGTATTTACAATTGGATGCAAGTACATGTCATAACATATAGACATTAGAAAAATAACCTAGAGTTGGAATTGCAATGAGGAGACTGGTACCAGGCTCCGAGTTCACAAAGCATTCTCAGACTTAAGTTAAGAATTTACTCAAAATTGTACGTCTTATTTTAACTAAACCATAGCCCTTTATAAAACTTTTGTTGTTTTAATGTATCAAATACATCAATAAGAATCTGTGTGCAAAGTTTAAACAGTGATTGAAAGTTGAGTAAATTCTTAATTTAAGTCTGAGAATGCTTTGTGAACTCAGGACCTGAACTATCAATGTTAGTTATTTTGGTACATTCCCCAAAGTTAAAATATAGTCCACATAGTACTACACTAATTTCAAATCAGAATACTCTTTCGTACTATATTTTTATGCACAACACTTGCTAATTGAAATGATGTGGTATGGAGCTATATGTAGTCAGATCAAGTTGAAGGTATAATTACCTGTCTTGTGTACCGGCAGGAAATAAATTAACAGCTTTAATAAGAAATTGTAATTCTACGTCTGGCCAATCCTTAAGACTTTTACTGCCATCAGAACCTTTCTTCTTATGTAATGCTTGAATCTGTTTTCTCTTCTCTTCTTCTAACTTAGCATTCATTGCCTTCACCTAAAAATAATTATAACCAGCGGCTGCCAGGCAAGGATAAACCCACGTTTTGCAAGAGATGGATAGAGGATAAGCTAAACACAAATTTTGCGATTTTTTTGTACAATCAGGGGCAATAATCCAGAAATTTATGGTCTGAAATGGGCAAATATCAAAAGAGACTGAGATCTACTTTGAGATATAAAGAAATGTTTTAAGTTTCATCAAAATCAGATAAAAATTGTGACCTCTGGAGGGTCCACAACCTTCGTATTACATACTTTTACACAATTTGTGTATAAAGAACGGCCATTTTGTCAGGCAGTTTCATTTCAATTTTCCTGAAATTCGAATTCAACCTGGAATGATGATATATTTTTAAAATCGGGAAAAAAAAATGTGACTTCTAGAGAATCCGCAAGCTAAGAATGCGATTTTTTTAACAATCAGGTGCTATAATCCAGGAAGTTACGTTCGGATATGAGCCATTATCAAAAGCAACCAAGATCTTAGTGTGTAATGGTGATATATTCACACGTTTTTTTAAAATTCGATAAAAATTGTGACCTCTACAGGAACCACAAGCTAAAAACGTGATTTTTTGTACAATCAAGGGTAATAATTCAGGAAGTTACAATCCGATATGCGCAAATATCGGCATGAACCAAGATCTTTGGGCTATAAATGTTAGGCGCAATCTTCACCCCTCGCGCAGATTGCAATCTGCGCTGTCATCCTGCGCAGATTGCAATCTGCGCTTATGAAGCTGGCGCGCAGAAGTCTTAGAGACCCCTATATGAAGAGAGAACACTGGGGGTCTAAGACTTTGTTACTAAAGTAATTAGACCGATCGCAGCTGTCAATCAAAATAATAAATCAACCAATCAGGTCTGATGTAAATAAAGGTATTTCCAGCGGACGTCAACCACCAACCTGTCATAATGGTAAAGAGATGTGCTTGGCGTACGTATTATTTGGACAGTCCGGAGAGACTGACGGAGGGTAAACTTTATTCCTTTCCCAAAGCTTGGAAGAACATGCGATACCAGACGATAGATAGGTAGATGCGGACGACCAGTTAAACGAAGAGATATAGTTAGTAATGGGTGAGTGGAGAAAGGCAAAAAAAGTTTAAACTTAAAGTTCAAAAGGGTTAGGAGCCTTGAGTCAATGCTAATTATCATAATCATGACGGCAGTTAAACGAAGAGATAAAGTTAGTAATGAGAAAGGCAAGAAAAGTTTAAATTTAAAGTTCAAAAGGGTTAGGAGCCTTGAGTCAATGCTAAATATCATAATCATGACGGCAAATTTCTTAGCCGAATATTTTTGCACACTTTTCCGAATAATCGACTCCGGTGCCAAAGATTGACTCTGGTCCATCTGTGACGTCACATGTGCTCCGGTGACCACCGAGACTATATATAGAGGGCCACCGCACATCCTCATTTAAGCCTGAAGAGTTCAAATAAGAACGAAACTAGTAGCTGAGAGAAATCTGGAAGGGCTGTTCGCCTGCTCACAGATCGTTTACATTTAAAAGTAAGTAATAAAATCTTAAAATTAATTCGATATTTAACAGGTATCCAGTGTAAATTATATAAAAAAGGAGTTATGTGGTCACATTTCTTAGTTAAGTAACAAGTCTAGCTGCAGTATTCTGTATTTTTTGTAATTTATCTATCACCTTAAAAGGTAAACCAACTAAAAGTAAATTAGAGTTATCTAATCGAGAAGTGACCAGAGAATTAACAAGTGACTTAGTGGCCTCTACAGTTACAAATTTACGTATTTTACCTATATTTCTGATATTAAAATAGCACAATTTACAAATATTATTTACTTGAGCTCCCATAAGCATAAAACTATCAAAGATTGCCCCAATATTAGGAGCAGAATAAGATGAAAATATATCACAACAAGCCAACAGTGAGGCTGATGTCCCCCGCCGAAATAGGAAAATAATTAGAGGACACATATAAATTTATCACAAATTATCTTTTACAAAGTATTGAACAATCAAACAGTATATCTTTACTTATAGTCTAACAATCAAAGTAGGAGAGTTATTGTTTTCCAAAGTCTCGACCAATCAAATTGCGTATCGCTCTGCTTACCCTGAGCAGAAAATGCTCATTATCAAACTTAGTCAAGGTATTACTGTAATGAAACTATACACCAAGTTTCATCAATCTCACTTAATTAGAACTAAAGTTATCGTGTCCCAAAGCATCAACCAATCAAATTGCTTATCTCTGCTTACCCTAAGCGGAAAATGCTCATCTTCGAACTCCATCAAGGCATTGACCTAATCAACACATACACCAAGTTTGAACATTCTAGCTCAATTAGGAAGAGAGTTATCGTGCCCCAAAGTATCAACCAATCAAATTGCTTATCTCTGCTTACCCTAAGCGGAAAATGCTCATCTTCGAACTCCATCAAGGCATTGACCTAATAAACACATACACCAAGTTTGAACATTCTAGCTCAATTAAAAGTTATCGTGTCCCAAAGCATCAACCAATCAAATTGCTTATCTCTTACCCTAAGCGGAAAATGCTCATCTTCGAACTCCATCAAGGCATTGACCTAATCAACACATACACCAAGTTTGAACATTCTAGCCCAATTAGGAAGAGAGTTATCGTGTCCCAAAGCATCAACCAATCAAATTGCTTATCTCTGCTTACCCTAAGCGGAAAATGCTCATCTTCGAACTCCATCAAGGCATTGACCTAATAAACACATACACCAAGTTTGAACATTCTAGCTCAATTAGGAAGAGAGTTATTGTGTCCCAAAAAGTGTGACGGACAGACAGACGGACAGACAGAAGGACAGACAGACAGACAGACAGACAGACGGACGAACCCATTTTAATAGTCCCCTGCTTTCTTCGAAAGGCGGGGGACAATTATCAATTACAACAGGGGGGTTATCATGTGCAAATTTACTTAATCGATGCCTTGAGCGTTATAACAAATATTCAATTTTAAAAAGTTCTTTGACATCCATCTTCTAATTTCACTAATACAGTTCTCAAGTTGCAATTTTGATAAATTAAAAGAAGATGGACAATTAGGTGTAAATGAAATATAATTGAGTATCATCGGAAAACAAATGAAAGCTGAGACCATATTTTCTGACAATATCACCTAATGGTGACGTATGGAGGGTAAATAAAATCGGACCAAGAACAGAAACTTGAGGAACCCCAGATGACAAAACAGATTCAGATGACGATTTACAATTAACTAAAATACACTGTTTTCTACCCACAAGATAGCTTTCTAAAAGATTTAATGCAGAGCCACAAATACCGAATTTAAATTAAAGTCTACGTAAAAGAATAGAAGGGTCTACCGTGTCAAAAGTAGCAGATAAATCTAATAAAATTATATATGTACATTTTCTATTATCAATTTCCATTAAAATATCATTTGAAACCCGGGTTAAAGCTGTTTCGGTACTGTGAAATTGTTTATAAGCACTTTGAAATTTTTCATACAAACAGTTATCGTCTAGATGGGCCTTTATCTGAGAAGCAATACATTTCTCCAATATTTTAGAAATAAAACTTAAGTTAGACACAGGTCTGTAATTTTTAAAAAAATTAGGAACCAGTGTAGACTTTTTAATTAAAGGGGTAACATAAGCTTGTTTGAAAACGCTGGAAATAGTAGAGGATGATATACAAGAATTAATAATATTGGTAAAAACTGGAATAACTTCGTCTTGACAGTCCTGAAGAACAGGAGTCGGAACAGGATCTAATGAACAAGATTTAGGAGCAGACGATTTAATTAGCTTTAAAACAAAAGATTCACTAACCAAGTTAAAATTTTCTAAATAAATAGAATTTTCTAACTTATCAAAATCATGAGCGTTAAAGTCAATAGTTTTATTTAAATCATCAAGTTCAGTTCGAACTCAACTGTCATTAAGGTGTAACGGTGATATATTCAAACGTTTTTTTAAATCAGGATAATATTGTGAATTCCATAGGGTCCACAAGCTAAAAAAACATGATTTTTCGTACAATCAGGGGCCATAATTCAGGAAGTCACGGTCCGATATGCGCGAATATCGAAAGGAACAAAGATCTTTGGGTTATAAACTTACATTTCAAATTTCAACAAAATCAGATAACCAGCAGCTGCCAGGGAGGATATGCCAACATTTTGCAAGAGATGGATAGAGAACAAACTAAAAATTAACAGGATTTTGTGTACAATCAGGAGCAATAATCCAGAAAGTTATGGTCTGAAATGTGCAAATATCAAAAGGAACTGAGATCTTTGGGATATAAAGATATGTTTTACATTTCATCAAAATCGGATAAAAATTGTGACCTTTTGAGGGTCCACAACCTTCGTAGCATACATTTACACAATTTATGTACAAAGAGCGGACATTTTGTCAGGCAGTTTCATTTTGATTTTTCCGAAATTCAAATTCAACCTTCATTATCGTGAAATGGTGATATATTTAAACAGATTTTAGATAATCTGCAAGCTAAAAATGCGATTTTTCGAACAATCAGGAGCCATAATACAGGAAGATACGTTTGGATATACGCCATTATCAAAGGGAACCAAGATTTTAGTGTGTAATGGTGATATATTCACAAGTTTTTTTATTAAAATCAGATATAAATTGTTACCTCTACATGCACCGCAAGCTAAAAAAGTGATTTTTTCTACATTCAAGGGCCATAATTCAGGAAGATACAATCCAATACGCGGGAATATTGAAAGGAATCAAGATCTTTGGGTTATAACACGTATTTTCAACTTTCATCAAAATCAGATCAAAATTGTGACCTCTAGAGTTTCCACAACCTTGATATACCAGATCCTATACACTATTTGCGTACGAGGGCCAGCCATTTTCTCCGGCAGTTTTGGCACAATTTTCATGAACTTCGGACTCAACAAACATCACAGTGAAACGGTGATCTAATCAAACGTTTTTTTAAATCGGATAATAATTGTGACCTCTAGAGTGACCACAAGCTAA